ATATTCCATTATATGAATAGACCACATGTTGTTCATACATTCACGCCTTGATGGACTTTCAGGTTGTTTCTACTTTTTTTTTTTAACTTTTTGGCCACATCTGAGGTATATGGGATCTTGGTTCCCTGACGGGGGATTGAACCTGTGCTCCCTGCATTAGAAGCACGGAGCCTTAACCATTGGACCACCAGGAAAGTCCCTAGGTGGTTTTTTTGACCGAGAATCATCTTTCCAAAGAGAAAAGGAAAAAAGTTTCAGAAGGTAGAGAGCAGAGGGCTGTTAAAACAAGAGGGGAATTACAGAGTGGTGTGGAGAGAAGATATGGCCAAAACAGCTGATATCTGGGGCAGTGACTGAGGATAACAGGCATGGCGGGATGAGCATCCTTGCCCGGGCCTCAGAGGGCTGAGGCCGGGCAGCTCCTGCAATGATCCTGGTGGATTCGGAAGGACGAGTCCTCCAGGCCCTGTAGCTCAGTGATTTAACAGCTGACGGAGGACTGGTTTCAATCAAGATCAGCACTATTCAATGAAAATAGATTGTGAGCCATATGTTATCAAACCACTGTGTTTTTTTTAAAGAAGAATTTATTTTTCTTTTAGGCGGCTCTGGGTCTTCGTTGCTGTGCACAGGCTTTCTCTAGTTGCAGTGCGCGGGCCTCTCATCGTGGGGGCTTCTCTGTTGCTGAGCACAGACGCTAGGGTGCACAGGCTGCAGTAGTCGTGGCTCGCGGGTTCTGCAATGAGGGTTCAGCAGCCGTGGCGCGTGGGTTTAGTTGTCCCTCGGCATGTGGGATCTTACCAGACCAGTGATCAAACCAGCGTCCTCTGCATTGCAAGGCAGATTCTTAACCACTTACCTTTGCCGGCATCTCGCTGTTGTTTTAAGAGAGTCTAAGCATCTTTTTGGGCTTACCTGGTGGCTCAGTGGTAAAAAAAAAAATCTGCCTAATATGCAGGAGATGAGGCAGATGTGGATTCAATCCCCGGATCATGAAGATCCCCTGGAGGAGGGCATGGCAACCCACTCCAGTATTCTTGCCAGGAAAAATCCCGTGGACAAAGAACATGGACAAAGTCCATGGAGTTGTGAAAAGTCAGACATGTCTGAAGCGACTGAGCACACAAGTATCTTTTTAGTGTATTTAAGAGCCATGTTAAATTTCCATTTCTGTGAACTCTGTTCATATCCTGGGACTATTTTTCTACAGGACCTTAGCTTTTGTATTTTGCTATATGAGTTGTCTTTATGTTACAGAAATTTGTCTGTTACATGTGTTGCATAAACTATTGCTTAGTTTGTCTTTTGACTTTCTTATTTTTTTCCATGGAAAATTTTGAAACTTTATTGTGGTCAGAGTTGATAACTTCTGAGTTTTGTGTCATGCTTAAGTAAGCCCATCCCACTGCAAAATTAAAAATTTTTTTTAATCTGCCACTTTTATGGTTTCATAGTTTAGATTTATATCTTTGAGCCATTTGCATCTTATTTTAGTATAAGTAGTACAGGAAGGATACAAACGTATGTGTTTCCAAATGGCTACTCATACTCCCAGGAAAACTTCTTTCATAACCTATGATTTCCTACGTGTATTTAGGTCTGTTTCAGGATATTTTACTCTGTTGATCTCTACTCATGTTTCCATACAAAAATATTTTAATTACCATAGCTTTATAATATGTTTTACTATCCAGTTGGGCTAGTTCCCCTCCTTACTCTCCTTTTTAAGAATTTTCTTAGCTCTTAAAAACTAGTTTTCTTTTTCTTTGGGGAGAGCCCATATTAAATTTATAAATTAGTTGAGAAAAAAATGACATCTTTCAACACTGATTTACCTCCTTTGGATACACAAAGCCAGCATGATTCAGAATCTATTCTGCTCCTTGCTTTTTTCCACTAACCAGTATATCCTGGAGATCTTCCCATTTCACATCACAGAGTTTCTTTAGTTTTTTTGTATAGCTGCATAGGATCATTGGTAGATGTATCTTTGTTTAAACTGGTTCCCTACAGATGAATACTTATTCTTTGAATCTTTTGCTATTGCACACATAACTCATGTGCACTCATCAGGCATAATCCCACCCTAGAGACTTTGTGCATGCCCCCCCAAGTGCCCATATTCACATGGCTCAGCCCCTCACCTCCTTATCCAGGAGGCCCATCCTGACCACATGGTACACCCAATCTCCCTATCCTGACAGTAATCTTCTTCTAACACATTGTATCATTTATTTTTAAAATTATGCTTATTATCTGTTTCCTACCACTAGATTAAAAAGGTTTTTGTTGTTATTTGTTTTGTTTTTGTCAATTTGCTTGTTTATTTGCATTCTTGGCACTCGGAAAGGTATCTGATATGGAATAAGTAAGCATTCAGTAGTAACTGCAGAATAAATGAATGAATGTATACACAAGTATGTTGGTAAGATAAATTCCCAGAGCTGGAATTGCTGGGTCAAAATGTAAGTCCTCTGGGACTTCCCTGGTGGTCTAGTGGTGAAGACTCCGTGCTTTCACTGCAAGGGGGATGGGTCTGATCCCTTGTCAGGGAACTAGGAACTGGCCAAAAAAAAAAAAAGAAGAAGTTTTACACTATATCTTCAAACCAATCTTTTTATATCTAGTAAGGCTATTGATTTTTGTATATGAAATTTGTAGGGACATGTATTACTGAATTGTGTGCTACAATTTTCTAGTTGAATTTTTAGGCTTTCTAAAATATAATTGTATCATTTCACCTGTAAATAATAATTATATCACTTTTTCAATCTTTATAACTGTTTATTTAATTACGTTGGTAAGTACCTCTGGAACTTACTCTGAATAAAAGTGATGGTAGTGGATATACTAGTTTTGCCCTGACTTTAATGAGAAGTCTTTTAGACTTTTAGGCTTTTTGGCTGCTTCCCTGGTAGCTCAGACGGTAAAGCGTCTGCCTACAATGCGGGAGACCCAGGTTTGATCCCTGGGTTAAGGAAGATCCCCTGGAGAAGGAAATGGCAAACCACTCCAGTATTCTTGCCTGGAAAACCCCATGGACTGAGGATTCTGGTAGGCTACAATCCATGGGGTCGCAAAGAGTCGGACACGACTGAGCGACTTCACTTCACTTCATATACAAGTGTATCTGTATGTGTGTGCATGTTGAGGGAGGCAGCGGTGGGGCATAATTGTACTTTAAGGATGCATTTTTCCCATCCTCTTGTTAAGGAATTTTTTTTCTTAAAAACCAAACAGATTTTTTGAACTTTTTCAAATACCTTTTCAACATCTCCGAAATAATCAAATAATAATTTTTCTCCAACGATTTGTTAATATGGTGAACAATATCAATGGTATTCCCAATGTTGAACCATCTTTTATTCCTGGTATGACGTACTCAGTTGTTGTATATAATTTTTGTATGTGCTGCTGGGTTATATTTGCTAGTATTGGGTTTACAGTTTTTGCTGTTGTATTCATAAATGAGATAATCTGTGGTGTTGCTGTCTTGTGCCATTATTGACAGATTTGGTTATTGATATGTAATATTCATAAAAGTAATTCGGAAGAGTTGACCTGGCATAGTGGTTCAGAGTGAATTCTGGAGCTAAACTCAACTGGGTCCAAATTAGGATCTGCCACTTACTAGCTGTGTCACCCTGAACTACTTATTGACTCCTTCTGCCTGTGTTTTTTCATCTCTAGAGTGAGAACAATAATTTATCTTTAGAGAGGAATAGTCCTTTATTGTGAGAATTAAATGAACACAGCACTCAGAACTGTGTCTGCCATTTGGACTCTACAAATGTAGCTGCTTTCTTATTATCATCTCTAGGGCTGTGAACCATTTGAATGGCATTTTTACTCATCACTCTATACAGTTTTGGTTGAATTCACCTGAAGTCTTATTTGGACTCAGTACTTTTTTTCCCCTTTATGTGTGGGAGAATAGCTCTTTAATAAACATTTTCATTTTCCTATGGAATATTTGGTCTGTTTACAATTTAAAGGTCTTTAAGGACTGATTTTTGTAATTTATGATTTCCTAGAAAACCACCCATTTAGTTCAAGCTTTCTCATTTACTTGCATAATCATCACAATTCTTTTAAGGTTCTTTGTAGCTGTGATTATTTCCTCAGTTTCACTTCTGATTTTGTTTAGAATGGCCTCAAGAAGCTATTTCCTATATTTCAGAAAGTCCAAACCCTACAGGCATGCACTACTTAACAAAACTGTCAAGTTCCTGATTTGGGGCTAAATACTATCAAAGCTTGTGAGGGGATGGTTATCTCCTGAAGCTCTGATGGTAGTTCTGTAATTGTTGATGGATAAAGAATGAGGCTACAATTTAGTTACCACTTATGAGCAAGTGTCCTCGGTAGATACCATTTTTTAAACTATGGGTCTGTAGTGAAGGTGGCGGTGGTGGGACAAACATAGGGTCCTTGGTCAACAAGGATGGTCAAGAGCAATAAAGGTATGTCAGGGACTCTCTCCTCTTTGCTGCTTTGTGTTAACCTTTGTCGGCTAGGGCAGAAAAGCTGTAAATAGTGCAGAGAGAGAAGAGTTCACTGGTTTTGTCCTGGATTGCCTGCAGCAGTTACTTCTAAAAGTTCGGTTACCACGGCAACCGTGTAATCGCCCCAAGGGTCTGTTAACTTTGATCAGGGTGAATCTGGATGGAGGTGTGGGAGACTGTAAAGAGCCTGGTTCCTTCATTCATTCCCTCGATGTTGGGGAGACACGTGTGAACCAGACAGAGAAAGGCCTAGCAAGAATTACAGATTATGAGAATTCCCTGGTAGTCCAGTGGCTAAGAGTGGGCACTCCCAGTGCAGCGGGCCTGACTTCAATCCCTGGTCAAGCAACTAGTTCTCACATGCCGAAACTAAAAAAAAAAAAAAAAAAAAAAAAAAAAAATTACATGCCCCCACTGATTCGGTGGATCGCAACTAAGAGCCATTGCAGCCAAATAAGTAAAAATAAATATTTTTTAAAAGAAAAGAATTATAGATTATAAGAGTCGGCTAGACCTACGTTCAACTGCCAGCCCTGCCTCTTCATCGCTGTGTGATGTCGGCGTGGTGCCTAAACCTCCCTGAATCTCCTCTGCAGAAGCGAAGACGACTTCTGCGAGGCTCTTGGACGCGGAGTAGGTGCCGTATCCACGTTGGTTCCCTTCCTCCTCGTTCCGACTCAGCCATTTACAGGCGGCGTAACTTGGGAGAAGGTATTTATCTTTCTGGAGCTTCCATTTCCTCAGAGACGATCCGTAAAAGTCCCCTCCGTCCCGGGAGCCTGGACCCCGAAGGGTTAAATACAGCCGCTCGGCGGAGCCTGATTGGCTGCTGGCGCTCCTTCCTTCCCAACCGGAACAGACCCGGAAGTACAGGTTCCCTGGGACGCCAGCAACACCCGCCAGCCACAGGCTTTCCAGGGCAGGGCTGATTTCAGATGCGACTTCCGTGCTGGTCAGACTAGATTCCCTGGTCTAGAATTTGGGAGATCCAGTAGCCCTGAACTGACCTCGTAGGGGAGACATCCCTTTATCTCGCTGGGCTCCTCTGCTCAGAAGGGCTATGGAGAACCGGTGAGTCCTTCCCAGGCTTCAAGGAAGCTAGCCGCAGGGCGCTGGGTACCACAAGCCTGGCATTAGGTTCTTCATAGAAGGATTGTTTTCTAATTGAGATTAAAATGCACACAACATTATTTGAACCGTTTTAAAGTGTAAAACCCGGTGACATTTAGTCCGTCTTTAGTGTTGTGCAGCTGTCGCCCCTACCAGTTCCCAAACACCTTCATCAGTTCCAGAGGAGACCCTGTGCCCAGTAAGTAATCACTCCCTATTTCCGCCTTTCCCCAACCTCTGGCAACCGCTCACCTGCCTTCTGTCTCTATAGATTTAACTATTCTGGATATTTCATATCAATAGAATGATAATACGTAGTCTTTTGTGACTGACTTCTTTCCCTGAATATAATGTTTTTGAGGTTTATCCATCTTGTAGCATGTATTGGTCCGTCATCCCTTTTTATGGCTGAATAACAATCCCATTGTATGGGCCTCCCACATTTTACACATTTGTTCAGCCACTGATGGACACCACTGGACCATTATGAATAGTGCTGCTATGACAATTCATGTACCAGCATTTGCTTGAATACTTCTTTACAATTCTTTCAGGTATATACTCTGTAGAGGTTCCATTCTGCCAAGCTGGGGCAATAATCCTTGGCCTGCCTTCCTCACTGGCTAGTGTGAGGATTGGGTGTAAAAGGGAAGGAAAACATTCATAGTAGTGCTTCCTCATAACTTAGTCAGTAAAGAATATGACTGCAACGCAGGAGACCCAGTGACATCAGGTTCGATTCCTGGGCCAGGAAGATTCCCCTGGAGAAGGAAATGGCAACCCACTCCAGTATTCTTGCCTGGAGAATCCCAGGGACAGAGGAGCCTGGTAGGATACAGTCCATGGGATCAAAATAGTCAGACACGACTTAGTGACTAAACCACCACCACCAGTGCTAACAACTCTGTTTTACTTCAGCATCCTATTAGGTATCTTCATGCACATGTCTGACATCTAGATCTTAATACATCCACATTGAAGTGGATCTCCTCCCCAAAACCTGGTTCACTTGTAGCCTCAACCATCTCAGTTGGTGGCAACTGATTCCTTCTGTTAGTTCACACTCAGCATCGCCATCATCTCCTCTTTCTCTCACACACACACTCCAGATCGGAGCTCTCAGGAAAGCAAGCTGGCCCCAGCTTCAAAATATACCCAGAATCCAATGATTTCTCACCGCCACCACTGCCCTACTGGGACCTCTGCACCGGTTCTCCCATCCTCACTCTGCACCTCCTTTTAAAATGTAAGTCAGATCATGTTGTTCTTTTGCTCAAAACCTTGCAGTGATTCCTCTCCACCTGGAGTTAAAGCCAAGTTCACCATGACCAGCACTGCCCCATGGGATCTGGCAGCCTGACCTGTGACATCATCTCTGCTCAGTTTCCCCGACCCACCCCCACCCCCAGCCCCGCCAGGCACATTTCACCTGGGGAGCTTTGCACAGGCATGTTCCTTTTGTGCAAACATTCCTCCTCAAGATACTAGCACGTCTGTCTCCCTCACCTCCAGTCTTTGCAAAAATGTCACCTTTTTTCTTTTTCTTTTAATGGGTGTCTGTTTATTATTTTTCATGATAAACTTTTTCCTTTTTTTGGCCATACCGAGGGGAACTTCCCTGACCAGGGATTGAACCTGTGCCCTCTGCAGCAGAGTGGGTGCTTGATGCATATTTGCTGAATTAGTAAACAATACTAACAACAATAGTGACCATTTATTAAGCCTATTACATGCCACATCCTCTACAAAGATGCCACACAAATTTCATAAACAGGGGCTTGCCTGGTGGCTCAATGGTGAAGAGTCTGCCTGCCAGTGCAGGAGACTTGGGTTCGATCCCTGCTCTGGGAATATCCCACATGCCACAGAGCAACGAAGTCTGTGTGCCACGACTATTGAGCCTGTGCTCTTGAAGCCGGGAGCTGCAACTTCAGAAGCCCACATGCCCTAGAGCCTGTGTCCGGAGCACCACAACTAGAGAGTAGCCCTCACCCTCGGCAACTAGAGAAAAGCCTCTGCAGCAACAAAGACCCAGCACAGACAAGATTTTTAAAAAAGAAGAAGAAGGTGTCGTCTTTAAAAAAAAAATCATAAACAAAGTATGATTTTTTTCTTTCATTTTACAGGAACCTGGGGCTCAGAACTTTTTAGGCAATCTACCCCAAGCAACTATTTAGCACTTGGCAGAGAACAGATAGGAACCCAGATCTGACTGCTTGGCTCTGGAATTCTTACTCTTTTCTACTTTGCCCTGTGGTCACTGCAGTGTATTTAACATGGTTCACTCACTCATTCGTTCAGCAAATATTTCCCAAGCCTCTTGCTCTCCTCCTCTCCTGAAATGCCAGGTCCTTTACTACAGACTGGGGACCCTCACAAAGATGGGTCTGGATCCTGGGGGAGGAGCTCAGGTCCTAAGTTCTGGGCAGCCTGTCCCCTGGGTTTTGTAAACTGATCAAGGGGGCTCTGTCTCCCTAGCCATAGCCACTCATGAGCTCTACTAAAGGGGAGACCATCTGAACTGATTGCCCCCCCTTTACAGCAGGAACAAAACAGCTCCCCACACCATAGCCCTGGTGGTCAGGCTGAGTGAGGCCTGCAGGAGCACACCCCACTGCACCTCACCAGGTAAACAAGCCAGGAGGAGGGCCGTGGGTGTGGGTGCAGGGCCGATGGGATGGGCCGAGGGGTGGGAAGACAGGGAGGAAGTGTGGTCGAGGGGGAGTGCTGGCTCTGGGGCAATCACGATTGCCACACGGGGAGATGCCAGCCCCAGACTCCCTCCCAGGGCTTCCTACCTGCTTTCTCAAGCCCAGAGACTCACTGAGCACAGTGTGGCCCAAAGGGGCCCTTCCTCTTGCTCCCGCTGCTTCCTCCCACCCAGAACCCAAATGCCTGCCTCCTCCTGGCTGCCCCCCTGCGGTTCACCCCCTTTATCCTTCCTCCTGAGCCTCCCTAGGAAAGCAGGGGCGGGGGTGCGCGGGGAGGGGAAAACACGACAGTTCTGCCCACTGATCCTCAATTGCCTGGCACTTCATGTTGTAAAGCCTCGCTGAGGAGTTGGTTTTGGGGTTTGGGGTTTGATTAAACACACACGCACACACACGCACTCTGGGTCCTGCATGTCCCATGGCTTTTCTTTCCTGTTTAGCCAACACACATTTATGAGAGCTTCCTCTGGGCGGGACCCTCTGCCAGGCACTGGGGGGCCTGAGGGGTCCTGGGGGAAGCTAGACAGGCGACTGCTAACCACACTGTAGCCACAGGCAGGGGCGGGGCGGCTCTGGGGCCCCCGAGGAGTTCCTGATGCAGCCTGGAAGGCAGGGACACTGCCCAGAGAAACAGGCAAAGGACAGAAAGGCTCTGAAGTGGAGCTTAGGAATAGAACTTAAGTGCCCAAATGCAGGAGACACTGTCCTTCAGAGGTCTGGAGGCCCCTGGGATGGAGCTTGGCAGTTGTTCCCTGCCTGGAATCAAGTCCAGGTCTCCCTTGCAAGGGAGGCCTGGGCAGCGGAGTGAATATTCTGTCCTTGAAACTACAGCTGGGAGGTGGAAAGGGTGCTCCCATTATAGAGAGAGGCAAACTGAGTCACAGGGGTGTGTTTGCACACTCCCCTAGATCACAGGCTGCCTTGGAGGTGGGAAATCAGGCTTGACTCTGCAGCACCCAGGGTGAAAAAGACTTAAAAATTATCCACGGGTAGGGTATTTACTGGTACAGCTGTGTGTTATAGAAATGGATAAATAGGATTTTATGTTGTGTGATCCAAATTTTATAAAATACACAGGTACATACACACTTATATTTTTTAAATTGACACTGGTAGACTACAAAATGTTAATAGTTGTTATCTCTAGGTTGTAGATTACAAGTGTTTTTAAAAGACTTTATCATGCTGGAATATGCTGGAAATATGCTGGAATATTATGGAGATATGCTGAAAAATAGAATAGGATAATGAACCGTTGTTATTGCTTAGTCACTCAGTCGTGTCCGACTCTTTGAGACCCCATGGACTGCAGCATGCCAGGCATCCCTGTCCTTCACCATCTCCCAGAGCTTGCTCAAACTCATGTCCATTGAGTCAGTGATGCCATCCAACCTTCTTGTCCTCTGTCATCCCCTTCTTCTCCTGCCTTCAATCCTTCCCAGCATCAGGGCCCTTTCTAATGAATAGGCTCTTCACATCAGGTGACTTCAGCTTCAGCATCAGTCCTTCCAATGAATATTCAGGATTGATTTCCTTTAGGATTGACTGGTTTGATCTCCTTGCAGTATAAGGGACTCTCAAGAATCTTCTCCAACACCACAGCTCAAAAACATCAGTTCTTGGTGTTCAGCCTTCTTTATGGTCCAACTCTCACATCTGTACATGACTACTGGAAAAACTATAGCTTTGACTATATCGACCTTTGTCAGCAAAGTGATGTCTCTGCTTTTTAATATGCTGTCTAGGTTTGTCATGGAAATTCCCTGGTATCTCAGTTGGTAAAGAGTCTGCTTGCAGTGCAGGAGACCCAGGTTCAATCCCCAGGTCAGGAAGATCCCCTAGAGAAGGAGATGGCAAACCCACCCCAGTATTCTTGCCTGGAAAATCCCATGGCCAGAGGAGCCTGGCAGGCTATAGTCCATGGGATCACAAGAGTCAGACACAACTTAGCGACTAAACCACCACCAGGTTTGTCATAGCTTTTCTTCCAAGGAGCAAGTGTCTTTCAATTTCATGGTTGCAGTCACCATCTGCAGTGATTTTGGAGCCCCCCCAAAATAAAATCTGTCACTGTTTCCACTGTTTCCCCATCTATTTGCCGTGAAGTGATGGGACCGGATGCCACAATCTTAGTTTTCTGAATGTTGAGTT